GCTCCAGAGACTAGGCTAATGTGAGTCACTCCCTCTGAGGTCATGAAGCACATAGCCATGTGACTGATGCTAGGCACCTTGTTTTCGACCTCAGAGGGAGGACTTGTGCTGACAGCTGTGGTGTCAGATGGTACAGTGGGACATACATGTGTCCAGGTAATGGGGAATTCAGGGAAGCTTTGGGGCTAGACTCTCTGGGAGGCATCTAATCCCACCAATAAGCACTCACATATTGCCCTGTTCAGACCACAGACTTGTATCGCATCTTTGTGATACAAAGAATATAAACAATAGTAAAGTAATGGTACTTTGCCCATAATATTCCAGTATTTTCAGTCAAACACCTCACACTCAGAAAAGGAGCTGTCTAATCGAATTACATGACTTGAAACTGTGCTATAAACAACCATTAGTAACTGTTGAATGCTCACTTTAGAAAACTGAACTATAACTTCTCTCAATAAATGTATAGTTTAATGGAGTCGATCTACAAAAACAGCCTAGAAAACAATAACATTGAATAGATTTAGTGATGTGTACAAAAATATCTTAACAAAGAATATAATACCAGAGTGAGGCAAACATTTATGAAGTCAACTTTTATTTTAAAATTATACTTTTTCTTAGTAATGGTACCTGTGATAGCTGAAACTTCATATGTGCTGTGTTTTTAAAGGGTGTTTCTCTTAGTGGAGACACATATATCACACTGATATTTAAACACCAGTAAAGGCATTCTGAACTCTGATTCATCTGACCTATTTTGAATGCTCCTAAACCCAGCTCCTAAACTCCATCACAGCTAAGTCGATGGATCCTAGAAAGCATTTGAGGAAGAATGTTTTGTTTCTTTTCTGATTAATAATAAATACAGTGAAGAACATACATGCAATTTTGGTTAAATGATTTAAAGGTCAAGCAGGGGGGAATAATCCCCAAGCCCCAAAGTAGCAAAGAACTTCATACTCAGAATGTTTGCTGTGAATTTAAAAATTTAGATGCCACTTCATAAATAAAAATGTGAAACACTATCTCCACAGCCCAAACAATCTAAACTCACATATTTGAAATTAAAATGTCAATAGTAGAAGTTGCCACAATGTTTCTGAACACTGATTGTCAGCGTGTTGAATTTTCAACATTCAGAATGAAGAGAAATGTCAGTCCAATTTGATTTTTGTCAAAGATTTCATGAATTAAGCTTGTAGTCTAGAGAATAAAAACAAATGTTTAAATAATAAATTTTTATTTACTGTATTTTCCAGCGTATAAGACGACCAGGCGTATAAGACGACCCCCCATTTTCCAGTCAAAACATAGAGTTTTAGCACCTCTATCCTCCTTATCCTTATACCTGGCGTATAAGACGACTCCCCACTTTAACCACAGATTTTGGAGGTTAAAAAGTAGTCTTATGCCTCAATGGACAATGAAAACATAATGCCCAACAGAACCATTAAAATTGGTTCATTTATATTTCCCAAGTTTTCCCCACTTCATTGGATCACATAAATAGACCGTACAATACTACTGAACAATTCTCATGTTTGGACTCAGTATATAATTGATGCAAATATGTTGAATCGATCCCATGTACTTATGGTTAGGGTCACTAATGCTATTTCGTGTTTATACACTATTTTCATTTCTAAACTATTGTATCATGCTAGGCCTTTGTGTCCTAAATAAGTGAATATTCTGCTATAAGAATTTGCCATT